ATGGCTTTTTCAAAGAGTTGACAATGATCTAAAACTATGAGACTTGCCTTAGTTTTATTGTGAGTTTTGTCATATATTTTTCATTAGAATTAAATCCTTGTGACAGTCATCCTTGTCATAATGGTGGAACTTGTTGTCCTACATCTGGAACTGAGTATTACTGTGACTGTCCTAGAGGTTTCGAAGGTGATAAATGTGAAACAGGTTTGTAAATATTATAATCATTGGAAATCACAAATAATTTTTTTTAAATCCTTAAACAAAGACTGCAGTAATGTGCATATATTTATATTTAATATATTGAATATTATAATCCTATTTGTGTTTTGCATCTAAAACATAGTAAAATATTCTTACTCATCGTTTCGGCCAATTTAAATTGAACTAAATTAATCAATTTTAATCTGGAGAGATTAACCGTTCAACAAAGAGGAAGATAAACAAAATTATAAATAAGAAAACGACGAGTGGAATAGTATTTTGGCTTTGGGATCAGGAAACTAGAGGACCAAAGAGGAACATACAAATTTACTGACTTATTACGTTGTAATTGTTCGCGAAAGACTTGGAATGTTGGAAATAAAAAGTTGAGAAGAAAACGAACTTGAACTTATCTTCTAATGAGTTCGCAAAGAATTTGTGAACGATGGCTTTTCAATAACGTTTACAATTTTCTAAAATTATAAGAGATTTAATTTGGTTTTAATGTGAATTTTGCTTTATCTTCCATTAGAAGTAAATCCTTGTGACAGTCATCCTTGTCATAATGGTGGAACTTGTTGTCCTACAACTGGAGGGAAGTTTAGCTGTGACTGTCCTAGAGGTTTCAAGGGTAAAACATGTGATATAGGTTTGTTATAATTATTATCATTGGAAATAACAAAAAACTTTCTTGAAATTCTACTAACGACTGTGTTTTCTAATAACTTTGCAAGTACTCGAGAACAATGGCTTTTTAAAAACGTTTACAATTTTTTAAAATTATAAGAGATTTAATTTGGTTTTAATGTGAGTTTTGTGCTTTATCTTCCATTAGAAATAAATCCTTGTGACAGTAATCCTTGTCATAATGGTGGAACTTGTTGTCCTACAACTGGAGGGAAGTTTAGTTGTGACTGTCCTAAAGGTTTCAAGGGTAAAACATGTGATATAGGTTGGTAATTATTATAATCATTGGAAATTACAAATAATTTTCTTTAAATCCCACTAGGAACTGTGTTTTTAATAATTTTGCGAAGAACACAAGAACAATGGCTTTTTAAATACGTTTACAATTTTCTAAAACTAGAAGAGATTTACCTTCGTATTAATGAGAGTTTTGTGCTTTATCTTCCATTAGAAATAAATCCTTGTGACAGTCATCCTGTCATAATGGGGA